GCCCGTCCAGCAGTCAGGGCGGGTGACCCTGGCCTGGGGATTGGCCCCCCTCCCCCTCCCACCTCTCACTGCTGGGACCTGCAGTCAGGGCCCTCTCGGTCAGAGAAGAACTGGAGACTGCACTTAGAAAGCGCTTTCCACGAGCCGAGGGCTTTTGGAAGGCTGTCTCCGTGTACTGACTGTACAGACGTCACTCCGTCAGTGGCAGGGGTCCTTCTGCCCACCTCTGACAGGTGTCTGCCCTGCTGCGGCTTCCACACCTCCAGGGACAGGCAGTTCAGCCACGCAAGAGCATCCTTTCTCGAGCCAGGCAACGCGGGTCTCAGTTCCATCCCCGGAGCCGTCCGCCCTGTCCTCTGCCCATAAGCCCGACAGAGGCCTGGCCGCCGGCCTCAGATGTCTCTGGCTGCGCGCTCCAGCCCTCGGTGGGAGGCGGCCTCGTGTTGCCGTTGGTGTTGGCACAAGCCCCCAGCCGCCGTCCGTCGTGGTCCTGCAGGAGGCGGTGCTCGCAGGCCTACAGGAGCGAGTCAGGGACAGATCAGTGCTGACTGCCCAGGCTCGAGGGAGAAGGTGGGGGCGAGCGCCCCAGCCTTCGGAACCCACCTGGAGCTCCGGACGGTCTTTCCCTGTGAGCCAAAACCTGCGGTGGATGGCAGGGCCGGGGCTGTTCCGGCTTCTCACTCCGCATCACTGAATGGCTTCGCAGCCTGTGTTAAACTTGCATCAGCCGGGAAGGCCCCCCCACTCTTTTTCACAAGAACTTCCATCAGGCCAGATCTTCCCCCCTCTTAACGTTTTTTCCATTATATTGATGTGTAATTTATGTAAATCAGCCTCTTGTTGACAGGCATGTAGATTACTTCCAAGTTTTTACAATCAGATATAACACAGCAGTGGAATTCCTTGCACGCGCCTCTGCGTACTGGCCTTGCTTCCTTTTGTGAGAATCTCTGGGAAAGGGAGGCCGGATCAGGAGCATCTGCCCAGAGTGCTGGCCATACCCCTGACTCTCACGGAACGCCCAGGGAACTCTGAATGGTTGGCGAACGGCAGCAGTGTGCACAGGGCCCGCCCATCCCTCGATCTGCGCGTGGCCCGGGGTCTGCGCGTGATCTCGAATCCCCGTGTGCAGCTGAGGGCTGACCCTGGAGTGCCCAATCCTGGCCAACAGACAGAAGCTTCCCCGAGAGAGGGGGTTCCTGGGTGGCGGGAGGTGGAGCCCACACTGGGCAAGCACCGTGGTGAGGAAGAGGTGTTCGGGGCTGCTGGGGGCTGGGCCAGCGGCCTGTGTCCCTGGGGCAGGCCGCCCTGGGCATCCAGCGCTGAGGGCTGGCCAGGACAGAGGGGCCTGAGTCATCGCCTCCGTGGATTCAGCTCCAGCATCTGCAGGGTTGCAGTTTGATGACCAGGTCTAGCTGGTGTCCTGAAAAATTGAGGCCAGCGTGCTTGTCAGCACCCGGGTTTCCCCCCGTAAACGCGTCTTTGTGCTCACCAGGGCTCTGGCTCAGATTAGGGAGACCCTCTTGGGGTCTAGCGTGTCGCTTCTCTTCAGGACCAGGAAGGAGCGATGTTCCCTGGCTCAGGATGGTGCGTGCTCTGCTTGCTTCTATCCAGTTGTTCACTGGAGGACGGTGTGTTGTGCTGGTCGCAGTAGTGTGGCCTGGCCATTTCTTATCAGGACGGTTTGAGGTTTCGATTTTGGGGGCATGCAGAGGCTGCCACGTCACACAACTCAAGTGGCCACTGTTCACGTAGAGTTGGCAGGACTTGGGGGTGAATAGAGGGCATGGGTGCCACGGAGTGGACGTAGGGGAGGGACTGGCTGGTGACTCGGCTCAGGACGCTGGCTCGGCCTCCGCAAGGTGACGGGGGCCATTGCGGGTTAGGTGTGGGGCAGGCGGGCTGTGCATTGGGGGTGGCGCACGTCAGAAGCCCCACTCTGGGTCTGGCGGGCCTCACTGGGGGTGGCGCACGTCGGAAGCCCCGCTCTGGGTCTGGCGGGCCTCACTGAGTGTGGCGCATGTCAGAAGCCCCACTCCGGGCCCTGTTGATCTGATGTGCGTGTTGGCACTCGGGGAGTGTACCCAGCGAAGCAGCCAAGTGCCCTGTGCGCCCACGGAGCCTGGGCACCGATGTGGGCGGCAGGTGGCACGGGAAACCCAGGGAACGTGTACCGTCACACAACCTGTCGCCGCTGCGAAAGCAGAGGGGTGAGGAATGCCGTGGGGAGGGAGTGGTGGGGGCCTCCTTGGAAGGTGGCATTGAGCAAAGACCCCAAGGAGGTGAAGGCGTGGAGCGGGCTGAGATGTAAGACACGGGAACAGCCAGTGCAAAGGCCCCGAGGCAGGGGAGTGCCTGCCACTTTGAGAAGAGCGGACCATCCCTGTGGGCTGGACCCCAGTGAGGCTGGAGCAGCGTGAGCGAGGCGAGGGGGGCCGCGGCGAGGTCAGGCCTGGAGGGCGGTGTCTCCACACTCACTTGGTGTGCCCCCTCCTTTGTTGGGATTGGTCTGGCTGCTGTGGGAGGAGGAGAGGCAGAGGGGCTGGGTGAGAGTCCGGGGACCCGCCCTGGTGGCCCGGAGGTGCTGAGAGGCAGGTGGGTGGGTGTGTCTGGGAGGTCGGGCTCACAGGTGCCTGCCACGCATCCATTTGGCCCTGACGGAGGCCTGGCCCTCTCCCCGGAGCATCTCTGGAACCTGCTGGCCTGAGACGGTCAGGAGGTGGGTCACGGACCGAGCAGGAACCCTGGGCTGGCTCAGCCCCACAAAGGCCCCGTGCATCCGCGGCAGATCGGATCTGGAGCGAGGGCTCCAGCCTCGTCCAGCAGGGACGCCACGTGCATGCGCGCCCGTGAGCCCAGCCGCACAGGAGGCCCCTGCCCTGCGCAGGGTCCAGGGGCGGCCGCCTGCCCCTCCCTCCTCAGCGCCCTCTGCCCCAAACAGGCCACAGGGGGCAGGAGGAAAGCCCTCCCACCCATGCAGACTTTTCCGAGACCGAGTGAGTGCAGGCTGGGGAAGGGGCTGAGTCCCTTCCCCTTCTTTGTCAGGGGGGTGTCCCAGCCCCCGCCCCCGCAGGAGCGGGCGTGAGGTCGGGGTCTTCCCGCCCGGCCCTGCGCCGCCCCTGCCCACCGCCGCTGTGGCTTCTGCAGCCTCGGGGCTCAGGGACCGTTTAAGGTCCTGGCGGGCTGAGTCCTGGCTGCTCCGCTGCAAGGACAGGGTTGCGTTTGCCGCGTCCCTCTCCTTGGGAGACAGAGCAGCCCTGATGGAAGGGTGTCCAGTGGGGGCGCATGGGGAGTGGTCCTGGGGTCTCCGGGAGGGGGGCAGGTGGAGTCTGCCATCAGCCACGTGCGCTCAGGGGACCCATCGCCTGGGGCCCCCCAGGCTCCTGCCCCCGCCCCTCCCGCCATCCATCCAGGGCTGTCTCGGGGCGCCCCCGGCCCCCACCCCACACGGGCCTACGAGGCCCCGAGGAAGCTGCTGCCCGTGGCTGCTGGGCAGCAGGGGTGCTGGGCCTGTGGCCTTGGGCGAGCAAGAGCCCCTGACTCACGGCCACATCGGGGCTGGCACCCAAGGCTCTTCCCCGGGAGATGATCCTCATCATCCTCCACTGCTAGGCTGCAGGCTTTGCCGTAGGAAACCCACCGAACGTCCCCGCGGGCCAGAGCGGAAGGCCGGCACTATTCTTAGATGGCCGGACAGCACGTGCCAGCTTGGTAGCAGGCGGGAGAGGCGCCCCGGGCACAGGTGCCTGTGGCTGGGCTGCGCTGGCCCCTCCCCCGGGAGGCAGCCAATGGCCTCACCTTCCACGCTGTGCAGCAGGGCCCCGCCTAGGGCCTGGGACCACGCGGGGCAGAGCTGGGTGGGTGGGCCGGGCACAGGCTGCTGACTGCATTGTGGTGAAGAGACCCTGGAGGAAGGACCACCCACAGCCCGTGGGGCTCTGTGCCCTTCCCGAGGGACCACCAGGCTGGCCCCAGGGATCCTAGGATGTCCTGCGGGCCGGGAGTAGCCGGCATCGCTGGAGAGGCTGCCAGAAGGCCCCGGAATCTCGGTGAGTGTGGGGTGAGTAACCACCCCCACTCTGTGCCCTCACCGGGCACTTGGAAAGTTGAGGGGTGCACACAGGCCCAGGGACCAGGGCAGTGGGGTGGGGGAGCCCCCCGTCCTGGCCTCTAATCCCGACTCACGCACACTCTACCTGCGTGACCTTGGGCAGAGCCAGCACCGCGCGGGTGTCAGTCTGCTCTCCCAGAGACAGAGTGAAGAATCTGTCCTCGCGGACTGGCTTTAAGAGTTCGAGAAGACGCTCCGTGTCCGCCTCCAGGCCAGTGGTCACCAGCAGCACAGACAGGGCAGGCGGCTTCAGCACTTTCTTCCCCGTGGTTCACGAGCATGATGCTGAGAGCTGGGGGCAGGGCGGCCCTGTGTGTGTGTGCCCTAGTCTTGGATCAGGCCCCCGTGACCTCGTTTTACGTCCATCACTGTCCTCAAAGCCTATCTCCAGATACACGCTCTGAGCGGTTAGGGCTTGGAGCTTGCAGATGTTGGTGCGGAGGAACAAGCTCAGCCCATGACAGACGCCGCGCACAGCGCCTGCCGGCGCAGGCATGCAGCGGGAAGTCACTCTGTTCATTGTTGGTCAGAAAGCAAACAGAGGACTTAATCCTGGCAGTGGGAGCGCGGGAGCAAGGGGGTGGGGCCCGCGAGCCGTCAGTGAGCGTCCCCGGGCACAGCCTGCTCCGTGGGGGCCCATCGTGGGGGTCCGCGGAAGGGGAGCAGGTCCGTCAGGGCGCGGTGTCGGCTGTTGGGAGGTGGGGGGGGGCGCTGTCCAGCAAAAGCAAGGCCTCCACGAGGGGAGGGGAGCCTTAGGAAGGCGCGGAGCAGCGGGTGGCCGTGGGCCCGGGGGTCCACCCAGGGGAGGGCGGGGTGTGGGCGGGACGCCTGCCTGCGGGGCCCAGGGCTGCGGTCTCCCCCTCACCTCGGGCCTGTGCTCTCTCCGCAGCGTTGAGGGTGAGGCCCCCAGCAGCGAGACCGGCACGTCGCTGGACAGCCCCTCCGCCTACCACCAGGGGCCCTTGGTGCCCGGCTCGGGCCTGAGCCCGGAGCCCTACGAGCACGCGCCGGGCGGCGCCTATGGGCTGTACACGGGGCCGCCCGGGCAGCAGCAGCGCGCGCGGAGGCCCCGGCTGCAGCACTCGACGTCCATCCTGCGCAAGCAGGCCGAGGAGGAGGCCATCAAGCGCTCGCGGTCCCTCTCCGAGAGCTATGAGCTCTCTTCAGACCTTCAGGACAAGCAGGTGAGCCGCGGGCCGGGGCGGGGCGAGGGCGGGCGGGGCGGGGCGAGGGCGGGCGGGGCGGGGCGAGGGCGGGCGGGGCGGGGCGAGGGCGGGCGGGGCGGGGCGAGGGCGGGCGGGGCGGGGCGAGGGCGGGCGGGGCGGGGCGAGGGCGGGGCGGGGCGGGGCTCCGCCCGGACCGTTCAAGGCTGGGCGCCAGGCCGGGACCATTCCCCACCATTGAGGCCTCGGCCTTATCCCCCTGCCCTCGCGGTCTCCTCCCGACTCCCGGAGGGAACGGGCAGACGTGGGGTGTTCTGTCTGACCTTGACCTCTGCCCACTTCCTGCTCCCCCCACCCCACCCCACCCCGCCCCGTGCCGTTGCTGGGCGTCAGGACCTGACTCCCCCAGCGCACAGGTTGCACACAGTGGTGGCCAGTGACATTCCGGGGTCCAGGAGAGGCCTGGACATTTGGAGGTCTGCAGGAGGGGCCCTTGGGGGAGGGGGAGGACAGTTCACAACAGAAGCAGCATGTCCTCTGAACAGCAGGAAGGCCAGGCCACTCATCCCACCCCTTGGTTTGCAGTTCCATGTTCTGGGGGGACACTGTCTCCTTACAGGCTGCGCCTCCTCCCCAGGGTCTTGGCCCAGATCCCTCACGGGGTCGGCATCTGTGGGCACAGCGAGGGGCGTGCCTGGCCTGCCCGCTTGGCCTCCTGGCTTTCCAGCCCTGTGGCGTTTGGCCCTGTGGTCAGGTCCACAACAGGAGCCTCTGTTCCGTTTTTCAGCTGCACCCAGATCCAAAGTGGATCAGGACAGTTTATAGCAACAGACGTCTATAGCAAGGCCATTAAAATAGAAGAGAGAAAGGTTAAACAGAGGCTAGTGGAGGTAATAATAAGCCTCTCGTGGCCTTAGCGTGACCACAGCTGTTCGTTTTTTCCCTCGCACGTTAGCCCAGTGCCAGCTGAATGCCAGACCCCATGCTGGTCGCTGGGGGGGGTCACTGGGGGCTGGGATGTGGCCACAGCCCTCGGGCAGACGCTGTGGTCCAGGAGACAAGTTAGCTGTGACAACACAGGTTGATTGCAGACCAGGGATGATACGAACCCCAAGAAAGAAGGAAGGGGAGGGAGGCTGGGTGCCTGTGAGAGGAGGCGGCTTGGCTGGGATGGGGGGAACCTTGCCAAGGCCCCTTGGAGCTGGGTAACCAAGGCCGAGGCCTTCCAAGAGAAGCTGACAGCAGGTGCAAAAGCCAGAGGCGGGTGAGCTTGCGGGAAAGGGCGGCCAGGATGAGGTGGGGCCAGGGGTGACGCTGAGGGCCACCGAGCGTGCAGCTCCCTGCGGAGCCTCCTGGCAGTCGCAGGGAAAATAGAAACGGGGGTGCAGGGTGACACGGGGATTTCCAGGTGGAAGCAAGGTGCCTGGTTCTGTGAGGGCTTAGAGCCTGGAGCGCACAGAGCCAGTGTTAGTGGCAGGAGCCCAGCGCACGGCCTTGCAGTGGCCACTGGCCCCTGGCCGCCACGTCTCCTGTGGTTCCCCGTCAGTGAGGGGGCCTGAGTGCCCAAGGTGGTGGCTCCCCTGCGTGGGAGGCCCAGCCTCGGGGCTCCTTGTCCTGCCTCGACTCAGAGCCTCTGCCCTCTGCACAACGGGCAGCTTCTGGGGCCCGTCTGCAGGCTGGACACAGGGTCGGGGGCGGGTGACACCCGTTAGGCGAGCGCAGATGGCTTGGGTTCCCTCCCTGCGCCTCCAGTCAGCATCCAGACGGGGCCTTGGGTCAGCTCTGACCCAGAAGGGAGGCTCAGGGCAGCTCTGGCCTACAAGGGGAATGACCCCGGGGGCCTGAGTAAGCGCGGGCCTGGGTCGGTGTGTCCCCATGGGAGGCCGGTAGGAAGGCCGGAGGGCTTCAAGGAGCAGCGCAGAGCCCACACCTGCCCCCTAAAGCCCCTTCTGCTCTTGCCCCAACCCAGGGGGCTGGCTCAGGCCAAGAGTGTCGCTGCTGGGTTCGAGAGGTCTAGAGTCAGCGGGACAGGAGGGGCCCCCACCCCCCGCCGAGCAGACCCAAGGGACCTAGAACCCAGGTCTCGGGGGGGTGGAGGGGAGAGGGCTTCCGGGAGCCCAGCCGTGGGCCTGCGTCGGCCCCGAGGGCTCTCGGAGCTCTACTCCAAACCCAGGAAACAGAGACACCGCTCACAGATGTGGAAGTGAGGTCATCCCTTTGGACTCCGTTCAGTAACTCCAGGCAAGAGAAAACACCCGCCCTGGCTGCCTCCAGTCCCAGCCGGGCTGTGAGACTCGGTGTGATCCTTGTCCCGCCCCTCCGCCCCCAACTCCTCTCCTGGGAGGGGCCGCTCTGCTGCCCCCACTTTCTGGAGGGCTGGCACGTCCGCGTCTGGGGGAGCTGGCGTCCCTCAGGGCAACTGGGGCCTACACGCGCCCCCAGTGAGGCTCTGAGCCCTCCCGCCCTGCCCGCCCCCCGGGTGGCTCCGGGCAGCCGTCGCCTCCCCGTGGCTGCAGCCTGGTTCCCGCAGCATCTGCCTGGCTTTGTGCCCTTAGCTGGTGCCCCGTCTGTTCTGCACAGACCCTGCCTCTCGAGGGCGCGGCCTTGCCGTCCCCGCTGAGGGGACCGGGGCGCTGTGCGCCTGGGGTGTGAACACCTCCTCCCGAGGACCTGGGGCCTTTCCCCCCGTCAGGGGCTTGGTGGGCCAGCCCGCTCCTCATCCCAGGTCTTCTCTGCTTCTGGAAAGCGGGCTCTGGCCTCACCCTGGAGGGAGGTGTGGGGAGCAGCCCTCGGGCCGTCCTCGGTCCTGGGGCCGGCGGACTCCGGAGGCCCACAGGCCTCGCGGGAGAGTCCCACCGCCCTGCCTGCCTTTGGGCTGGGCCTGCTGTCATTCTCCTGGAGGGCGCCCTGGGGTCTGGAGGCCTGCAGGGGTGTGTAGGGTCTCTTCTCTGAGGCTCAGCTTCCCCGTCTGTACAGGAGGGGGTGTGTCCGCCCCTCCCAGGAGTGCTGTGGAGGGTCCCACGCCTCCTCCGCCCCGTGCTGAGGGCCTGTCTCGCCTGTGCCCGCCGCTGGCCCATGAGGCAGGTTTGACTGGCTGGAGGGGCTGCGGGTCCAGACTTTCAGAGTCAGTCTGTGGATGAGGGCCCAGGCTGGCGACCGGCGCTCGGTGCTTAGGGCTGACTCAGGTCTCGGGCTGGTCTCCTAGCCAGCTCCCGCCACGGTCTCCTTGTCTCCCGGGGGACAGCCTGCAACCTCCTGCAGCAGCTCTAAGTGTCATTAAACTGCATGGGCCTGGTGCGCCAGGGCAAAGGCTGCTGCAGACAGAGAAATCTGGGAAACCACCGCCCTTGAAAGGCTCTGAGAAGTCCTGCGGGGACCACCTGCTGTAACTGCAGCTCACCGCTCCTTTGTCTCCCTGGATCTAGGAGCCGCACTGGCACGGCGCCCGGCAGGTTCCTGGGTCGAGGAGCCGCGGGGGCCCGGTCTGCCCTCTGGGCCGGGCCGGGCCACCCTCACGCCCCTCTCCCGCCCCCGCAGGTGGAGATGCTAGAACGGAAGTATGGAGGCCGCCTCGTGACCCGCCATGCGGCCCGCACCATCCAGACGGCCTTCCGCCAGTACCAGATGAACAAGAACTTCGAGCGGCTGCGCAGCTCCATGTCTGAGAAGCGTCTGTCCCGCCGCATCGTGCTGTCCAACATGCGGGTGCAGCTGTCCTTCGAGGGGTCCGAGAAGGCGCACAGCTCCTTCTTTGAGGGCAAGCAGGTCTCGGTGACCGACGGGGACACCCCGCTGGGCTCCCTGGGGCCGGCCGAGTGTGGGGACCTGGGCCCGCCGCCCCCACCTGCCCTGCAGGCCCCCGCGCCCGCCGGCGACTTCACGGACGCCATCACGGAGCTGGAGGACGCCTTCTCGCGGCAGGTGAAGTCGCTGGCTGAGTCCATCGACGACGCGCTCAACTGCCGCAGCCTGCACGCCGTGGAGGGGGCTCCCACGCCCGCCGCCGAGCCCTCGTCAGGCCTGCACAGCGCGGAGCAGCGCCGGCTGGACGAGATGACCGCCTCGTACAGTGACGTCACCCTGTACATCGACGAGGATGAGCTGTCACCGCCCCTGCCTGCGGCGCAGGCTGGGTGCCGGCCGGCCAGCGGCGAGTCGGACCTGCGGCTGCGGGCCGGAGCCACCGCCCAGGACTACTGGGCGCTGGCCCACAAGGATGACAAGGTGGACACGGACACCAGCTGCCGGAGCACGCCGTCACTGGAGCCGCGGGCGCGCGTGGAGCACCTGCCGCTGCTCACCATCGAGCCGCCCAGCGACAGCTCCGCCGACCTCAGCGACCGCTCGGACCGCAGCTCGCTCAAGAGGCAGGGCGCCTACGAGCGCGGCCTGGGCGGGCCGCAGGGCAGCCCCAAGCACGGCCCCCACGGCCCCCCCAGGGGCCTCCCCCGGGAGGAGCCAGAGCCGCGGGCCCGGCCGCCGCGGCCCCTGGACGCCCACCTGGCCATCAACGGCTCGGCCAACCGGCAGAGCAAGTCCGAGTCGGACTACTCCGACGGCGACAACGACAGCCTCAACAGCACGTCCAACTCCAACGACACCATCAACTGCAGCTCAGAGTCCTCATCCCGCGACAGCCTGCGCGAGCAGACGCTCAGCAAGCAGACCTACCACAAGGAGACCCGCAACAGCTGGGACTCGCCCGCCTTCAGCAACGACGTCATCCGCAAGCGGCACTACCGCATCGGCCTCAACCTCTTCAACAAGTGAGTGCCCCCAACTGCCGCCACCGCCGCCCGGCCTGGCGCAGCGGGGCAAGGGGGTCGTCGGGCCCTGGGGCTCTTTGAGCAGGGCCGGGTCTGCATCCCCGCGGGCTGGTCAGGGAGGAGGGCCCAGGCAGGCCCGACGCCCGCCGGGCGTGTGCGTTGGGTCCATGGCATGGCCGCGGTGCGGGGCTCTGGAGAGAGCAGGTCGAGGGCGGGAGACTGGTGTTTAACACAGACTATTCTTAGCGCGGCTGAAAATAGCGCTCCCTCGGAGGGGATGCTGGGGACGCTGGCAGCTCTGGCTGCTAAACCTCGGGCCTCTCCTCTCTGGATTTGGTGTCGCTGGACGCCAGCCTCATGCTGGCTCCTCGGGGGAGGGGGCACGTGGAGGGGATGTGGCCAGCCTGCCTGATGGCTGCTGCACTGTGAGCCCCCCCACTTCCTCTTCCAGATGGTAGTGGGGGGACTTGGGGTCACCCCCTACTCAGCTGGGACACGCGGAGGGGCCTATCCCGAAGGGCGGCTATGGGGAACCGTGGGGTCACACCCGGGCCCCTGGGGGCAGGGGGGCGTCCCTGGCCCTCGATCTGCTGAGGACCATGCGTCCCAGAGCCATCGTGGGCACCTGGGGAGCCCTTGAGACTCCGTCTGCCCCCAAGCCATGGCCGGAACACTGTGTGAGCAGGGAGGCCGTCCTGCACTCTGTCCCAGGAGCCCACCCGCCTGCTCTGGGCCCCGCCGGTCCTGGGGCATCTTAGACCCTCCTGCGGGAGGCTAGGATGACCTGAGGGGCCCCAAGCTCCCCTCGTCCCCAGCAGGCGTCGTGTCCTGACCTGGGAGTCCCGGCCGGGCGGACAGGCAAGGGCCGGAAGAGCTGCCTGCCGGGCCCAAGCACTTTGGTCTCTGGACTCCCCCTGGCGCTGCCAGCCCTCTGCCACAGGCCACGACGAGCCGCCCTGCCCCCCCCACGTCTGTGTGCGCGTGGGTCTGGTCCTCACCCCTCCTTCCTGCGTGTCCCCCGTGCGTGCGGCCTCTGTCGCAGCGGCCTCGTCTGTGCGAGTCATGTGTGTGAGCTGGAGATGAGCCTGCGTGGACGGGGCTCGGAGAGCGCCGGGCACACAGACTCCGGCCCGTGCCTCCCTGCCGTCCCGGCCCCCGCAGACATCCCCTGGGCACGGGCCACGCACACTGTCCTGCTCTGACACTGCCACGCGGTTTGCTGCTGGTGGCCGGGCGCAGGGCGCCCAGTGGCTGTTCGTTGAAGTGGAGCCTGCAGCTGGACATGGGGACCTGTCTCCCCACACCCTGGGCAGCACTCAGCCCTGTCTCCAGTCCAAGTGTAGAGATAGTGTCTCTTGTTTCACTTTGGATCTGCCTGTCTCCTTCTAAGGTGGAACATCCGTATTTGTGTCTTTTGGCCGTTTTGGTTTTTCCTTCTACAAAATGCCTGTTTCTATTTTTTGTTTATTTTTGTGTTGTTTTTCTTTTTGATTTTCTCATTTCATTTCAGTTTAGTTCAGTCATTCAGTCATGTCCAACTCTTTGTGACCCCACAGACTGCAGCACACCAGGCCTCCCCATCCATCACCAACTCCCGGAGTTTACTCAAACTCATGTCCGTTGAGTCGGTGATGCCATCCAACCATCTCATTCTCTGTCATCCCCTTCTTCTCCTGCCTTCAATCTTTCCCAGCTTCAGGGTCTTTTCAAATGAGTCATTTCTTCCCATCAGGTGGCCAAAGTACTGCAGTTTCAGCTTCACCATCAATCCTTCCAATGAACACCCAGGACTGATCTCCTTTAGGATGGACTGGTTGGATCTCCCTGCAGTCCACAGGACTCTCAAGAGTCTTCTCCAACACCACAGTTCAAAAGCATCAATTCTTTGGCACTCAGCTTTTTTTATAGTCCAACTCTCACATCCATACATGACCACTGGAAAAACCATAGCCTTGACTAGATGGGCTTTTTTTGGCAAAGTAATGTCTCTGCTTTTTGATATGCTGTCTAGGTTGGTTTGATTTCCTAGTGGTTCTTTATATATTGTGGATCCTGAAACAGAAATGTTTTCCTGTCATTGGCTGCCTTTTCCTAAAACTTGTGAAGTGGAATCCTTGTACTGTTAAGATCTGTCCTTATAAAGTGTCCAGTTCATCGGGTTTTAATTTTACACCTTTTAACTTTATGCTTTGTTGGTTTAACAGAAGTCACTAATTCTTTTTTACATTTTTTCTTCCTGAGATGTACTTGGCACGTAAGCTAGAGTCCGGCATACAGCACAACGACTCCCTGTCTGTCTACATATGTGGTCAGTTTATCAGCGTTCTCTTTGTCTGCTACTTTGCTTTTCTGTGTTTTCTTTTAGGAGACTCCACCCCAGGTCATCACATAGTATTTAAAGTTAAAGTATTTCCCTCAGGACTGCCGTAGTTTTGTTCTATATTCGTCAGTACGTCCGCCTGGTGTTTGGTTTGGAGAATGGTACTGGTGAGGAGTGTAGCTTTTATTTGGTGGAAGTTAGCTGGTCGTTCGCACACAGTTTATTGAAGAGTCTGTCCTTTCTCTGTTGACTTGAAGTCCCGCCTGATTCCTCCGTGAGCAGGGTCTGTGCTGGGATCCTGCCACTTCCTTGGCAGACACTCGTGGGACACCTCCTGCAGGCCCAGCCTTGTGCTGGGGGCCTGGCTGCGTCCGTGAACAGAACAGAAGATCCTCGTGAAGCTCCCTCCATGCCTGTGGTCAGGGGCTCTGTCTGTTCCTCTGGCCACATCAGGCGTTCAGTTTTACGTGCTCTCTTAGGGCAGAAGCCCCTCTTTTGTCCTTTTAAGCGGTCCTGGCTCTTATCGGCAGTTGCTCCCCCACACCGATTGTGGAATCAGCTCGTTAGGACTGTGGAAACCCCTGGTGGACTTTCCACGGCAGCCCCTGCGACCGGGGGGCCTCAGCCTGTTACACGTCCAGGGGCAGGGGTGAGGCCGGGCCGCAGGGCGTGTGTTAGTTGATTGCCGGTGAGCACAGTCTGTCCAGCTGCCCTGGCTGGGCCCAATGCAGGGGCTCGGCGGCCACGTCCCAGGACGGGCCCGGGACTGCAGAGCCTGCTGGCGGGGGGCGGCGGGGCAGAGGGGGTGCGTGGCCGCCAGACCCTAGCCTTGTGGCCGCCAGCTGCCTGCCCGGAGCCTCCCCGGGCCCAGAGAGGGCTGGTGGTCCGACCCTGTGCGGGGCCAGATGCCCCAGGCAGGCCACAGAGCCGCCGGCGGGAGGGCGGTGGAGCGCAGAGGTCCTGGTGGGCCCTGCCCCGGGAGGCCTGGCCTTGGCACCGCAGTCCTTGCCTTCCGGCCCGGCCCCCGCCTCAGCCCCCCGCCCTGCCCCACCACATTCTCCCTGCAGCTCTCCCTCTCCCAGGCCCCTACCCCCACCTCGCCCCAGGCGGCCTGCACAGCCTGCACCCCCACACTGGGGTCGCCTGGAGTCCGAGTGACGGGTCCCAAGCGGCCAAGCGGGGAGGAAACGAGAGAAACCTGTGACAGGGAGGCCGGCTGGCCGGGAGGGTCACCCCCGGGGCCGCGCCGTCCACCTGGCATCCAGATGTGCCTCCAGCCCCAGGGCCCGGGCGTGTGGGCTCCTCCTCCGGTCAGCGCCGAGCCCCTTGAGGGGCAGGGTGCCCGGGAGCACGCCTGGGGCAGCTGGGAGCCAGCAGCGTCCCCCAGGCCGGGGACCCAGGAGCAGTGTCCACTGCTGGCTCCTCGGGGTCAGGGAGTCCTCCACTCGCCAGCCATGTGCCGCCTGGGCCAGGAGACCCCCTACCCCCCTGCCTGACCTCCGGCTGCAGCCCCCGTCCTCTCGGTTGCTGGGAGCTCCTGGTCTCTGCCCCAGTCTGCTTAATCCGGGTTCCTATCCGGCAGTGTCTTCTGACAGCTGCCCAGTGGACGCGCCTGCTCTCACCTCCGCTCAGGCCGAGAGCCGGAGCCCTCTGGCTCACCCGCGGCTTCACCAGCGGGAACACCATCATTGCTGCCCCCAAACCGTGTCCTAAGCTGCCCGAGTCACCCCCACTCCCGCCCGACTGCCAGGCGCTCCTAGCTGGAACCCCCAGGGCAGGCAGAGGGCCCCCAGGGTGCACGCCTGCCCTGTTCAGAGCATGCCGGGCCTCTCATCCCTGCTCCAGGGGGGATAGACAACCCCAAGGGCTGCCCACTGCCCCCTGGCCTCCTGCCCAGACCCTACTCTGAGCCCTGGAGAAGCCTCACGCCCTGGGATCCTGCAGAACCCATGCCCACCGCAGGGCCTCTGCATTCGCTGTCGCCCCCACGAGGAAGCTCCCCCACCCCTCCGGTCATTTTGCCTCCCTTGCAGGAGCCCCTTCATCCCTCGCCTGACCCCCAGACAGGGGGCAGCAGCGGTCACGCTGGGCGCAGGGCCGGCCTGGTCCAGCCCCACCATCTGGAGCGCCGCCTGACAGAGCTGGCACGCCTCACTTAAACCAGGGGCGTCCCCACTGCACGGAGCTGCGAGCTCCTGATTTGGGGAGGGTACCCGGCAGCCACGATGCTGGGTGACCTTGGCATGTGAACACGGGGAGGAGAAACCAGGGCAGAGAGGGGAGCTCAGGACGCCCCAGGGCAGCAGCAGGAGGCTGGGCTGGACCAGGGCACGCGCCAGGGCCCCAGGGGCCAGGCAGGCCCCGGGAGGAGGTTGGGAGCACCTGGGTAGGGGAGCCCGAGCCTGCCCTTCCACCGTTGCCACAGAGGATATGAGCCCAAGGATGCCAGGCTATCTCGGAAACCCAGGTTCTCTGTCCAAGCTCCTGATTTCTAAATGTTGGCGATTGCTGGACTTGCTTTGTTAACGTTGTGAGGGTGTTACAAGACCGTGGGCTCCCCTGGGGGCGGGGGCCGGGGGGCCGGCAGTGAGGTGGTGTCAGCCGTCCGTGCATCAGCACCTGTGGCCAGGTGGGAATGGGGACCCTGGGCCACCCCTCTGCGCCAGGACCGAGCGGCCCCGCAGGTCGCTCTCTGCCAAGCTCGGGCACAAGGCTGATAGCACAGTCCCCTCACAGCCGGAGGCCGGCCCGCACGTAGAAACACGAGGTCTGCAGGGTCTGCCATCAGCACGCGACAGCAGGGAGCCCCGGCTCTGACCGCCATGCCCCCAGAGTGCCCCGCAGGGGCTCCAGGCCCGTCCAAGGCTCCTGCTTTCCCGCCCTATTTCTTCTGATCATGGGCACCTTCCCGTGAGGTCAGCCAAGCTGGCACCAGGCCCCGAGGTCCGGGCCGAGGGAGCAGCCTACTGGCTCACTGCCCGGTCCCCAGAGGCCCCCGGGTCCCAGGGCGAGTGGACACTCAGCCCCTTCCCAGGCCTCTGAGCGCAGCGGGAGCCGGCTCTGGGCCTCCGTGTCCTCTGGTGTCGTGGAGGTTTATCTTAAACCTCCAGGTTCTTACCTACTGTGCGCCACGTTCCAGGTGCCCGCCCATGTTAACACACCCGTCCCAAAGGGTGGTCCCGGCTCTGGGAGGCCACACAGCTGTCAGGCGCCTGGGCAGTGGGGGGCGGCGTGGGGGCTGAGCCGGCGTGGGGGGTCCTTGGGGTGCTGGCTGTCCAGCCTGTCCTCCGGTGGTCAGCGTGTGCTGGGCGGGGCCGCTCTGTGCCTGCCCCTCGCTGGCCCAGGCTGGGCGTGGGGCCTGGACGGTCCCAGGTGCCCCAGGTGGTGGAGTCAGGCTGGGACAGGACCGGGTGCCGCGGAGGCGGCGGGGGGCAGGCGCGCCCAGCTGAGCCTGTCTCTCGTCCCCCAGGAAGCCCGAGAAGGGCATCCAGTACCTCATCGAGCGCGGCTTTGTGCCTGACACGCCGGTGGGGGTGGCCCACTTCCTGCTGCAGCGCAAGGGCCTGAGCCGGCAGATGATCGGCGAGTTCCTGGGCAACCGGCAGAAGCAGTTCAACCGCGATGTGCTCGAGTGAGTGGCCTGCCTCTCCCAACCTCTCCCCCAAAGCACGGGGCCCCGGGCACCTCCAGTGGGGCGGGGGTCCCACCATCTCTCCCCCAGATGCACACAGATCCCAGGCACCTCCAGCCCCGTCCAGCAGGGCCAGCCCCACCCCTGGTCCTGTGGCCTCTGTGCTGACGTCCTGCGGTGCAGCACGGGCAGCCAGCCCAGCTCGGGCCCCATCCTCCTCCCTCTCCTGCCAGGAGATGGGGTGATGGTCCACCAGGCTGATGGTCCCAGACCCTGCAAGAGAAGGGGTTTCCAGCCCCTGGGAACAGCTGGCAGCTTTGAGAAGGCTTGCCTGCACCCCCGACCCTCCCCCAGTCTGTCCTGAGAGGAAGGGTTCCGTGTCTGGGGCCTGTGGTCACTGGGCGGGCACTATGTGCAGGCCCTGTCCTCACTTCACCCACAGTGGGTGTCGGGGTCCATAGCCCCCTCCACAGACGAGGAGCCAGAACCAGCAGTAGGTGGCTCAGCGGGTGCCCTTGGCCAGGACTTGGGGCACGGCTGCAGGCCTGCTGTGGGCACCCAGGCCCCACACGGGGTGGACGAGCTGACCGGTGGGCCAGGCACAGGGTCAGAGCAGGGAGAAGCGACCCCGGTAATGGTGGCCGGGCGGGCTGGCCACGTGCACACACCGCCCTGGCGCCCGGGGGGAGGCCTGTTTCACAGGTGAGCAGACCCAGGCTCTGGGGTGGGGGGTTCGGCCCGGGTGCCCCCACGGGCACACACACCCGTGTACACACACAGCTTTGCACTCGGTCACACACCAACACCCTGGAGAGGCAGCCTGTGCCCCAGCTGCTCCCCCCACAGCCCCTCCGCCCCACGCCCCCCGCATCGTGTGACTGGTGTCCCCTCCCCTTTGAAACCAGGGAGGACCTGTCCAAGGAGAGCTGATTCTCTCCTCCATGAACGGGGCCCAAGACGACCGTCCAGCCCAGGCCCTGGCCTTCAACCGGCCCTTTGCCCACCCCCTCACCCCCCACCCCCATGCCTCAAGCCACTGCTGGTCCATAGGAAATCCGGGCATTGTTCTCCTTAGATCAGAAAATAGTGGCGGCCTCAGGAAGTAGCAAGACCCCTCCCGCCCCCCACAGGCGTCCTTCTCGAACGCTGGTCAGCAGACAGTCCCGTGGGGCCCCACCCCCTCCTTGCCCCTCTGGCCGAGCGTGCTCGGAGCATCGCCCCAGCACACGGGGTCCCTGGGAGTGGACACCGGGACCTCTGCAACCCCACCGGGTGTTCGCTGGAGGGTCCCCGGTGCAGACCCACCTTCTCTGCTCAGGGGCCCGGTCAGGCTGGGGGCGGGGCCGCGGCCAGAGTCCCCTGCCCCCCGCGGGCTCCACGGCTCTGCCCTCCTTGCGGGTCAACGGGTGGGAACGGCACTGCCCCCCGATGCCCATCGGAAGGGCCTGGGAGAGCCTCCCTCCAGGCCTCCCTGCTCTGAGCCCTCGTCCCCGGCGGGAGGGGGCGGGGGCGCTGACGGGCCGCGGGCTCTCGTTCCAGCTGCGTGGTGGACGAGATGGACTTCTCCGCCATGGAGCTGGACGAGGCCCTGAGGAAGTTCCAGGCGCACATCCGGGTGCAGGGCGAGGCCCAGAAGGTGGAGCGGCTGATCGAGGCCTTCAGGTGTGGGCCGGGCCAGCGGGGAAGCGGTCCCCTATCAGAGGCCGGGGCCCCGAGGGCAGAATCCCCCTTCAGAGTCAGGGGGCCCCTCCTGGGTGCCAGGCGCCATGCGACCCAGTGCTGGAGCCTTGGCCTCGGACGCTGGCTCCCAAATCCGTCAGCGTCGTCACAGGGCGGACGCTCAGAGACACAGAGAGCCTGGTTCTGACACCTGCGCCCCATGCCAGCCGTGTGACCTTGCGCTGGTCACTTAATCTCTCTGCGCTTCAGTCGTCACCAGCAGAGGGGAGGATGATGGCGCCCACCCTGGAGTGGTTGGGCGGGTGAACCACCCGGGACGTGTGGGCATGTTTAGCCCAGCGCCTGGCACCCCAGAGAGCCTGTAAGCCAGTCCCTGCCGCCTGGCACCCCAGAGAGCCTGTACGCCAGTCCCTACAGCCCTCCTTCACGCCAGGACTGTGCACGCTGCCACGTGAGGCCCAGCCCCCTGGTCTCTGCAAGGGTGGTGAGGCCGCAGAAGAGAAGGTCACACACAGAAGAGACCCCAAACCCTGGTAGGGGAGCATTCCGACACATCCATCCAGGAGGGCTTCCTGGAAGGGGCAGCTCTTAACAGGGAAGAGAAAATTGAAGCCCACGCTATCTAAGCTCTGATTACTGCTGCCTCTGAGCTTAGGTCGCGGTACTCCCCCTGGTTCCTCTTCTCCATCCCTGCCCTACCCACCCAGCCCCCCCCAAGGGCGCCTTGGGAAGGCGTGGGGGCATATCGGAGGCTGTGTGTTAGCGAGGCTGTTAGTTCAGCTGCCACAGCAAAGGTGCTGCAGCATCAGGCGGCTGAAACCACCCGGAGCTGGGCCGCCCTCTGAACTGCAGTCCTAGGCTCCCCTCACCTGAGGTCCCCAGGGCAGGTCCATCTCTACTCCGGGCGGGACAGAGGGCGTGGAGGGCCCATCCTGCCTTTAGGGCACAGCCTCCCATCAGCCAGCACTCCGAGGGGGCCCGGGGATGTGGTCCTCAGCCCCAAGCAGTCAGCCACCATCCAGCTGGGGGGTGGGGGGGACTTGACTCACTTGGCCAGCAGATGGGCAGACGGGAAGGGCCAGCTCCGCTGGTCGGGGGTCCCCGCCGTGTACCCGAGGCAGACACAGAGTCTCTGAGACGGGTGACCAGCCTCGGGTGTTTGCGGCCACTGGTGGGCGAGGGGTGGGCTGGCCTGCCCCGGCTGAAGCCCCGCCCCCCGCCCCGCCCCAGCCAGCGGTACTGTGTCTGCAACCCCGGGGTGGTGCGGCAGTTCCGGAACCCCGACACCATCTTCATCCTGGCCTTCGCCATCATCCTGCTCAACACCGACATGTACAGCCCCAGCGTCAAGCCCGAACGCAAGATGAAGCTGGAGGACTTTGTCAAGAACCTCCGCGGTGAGCTGCCCCGCTTCGCGGCGTCGGGTGGGGGTGGCCAGTCCTGGGGCTGACGTGAGCTCTGGTCTCTGAATGACCGCAGGGTTTGGGCCCAGGCCCGGATACCGGGCCAGAGGGTGGAGGGGCCGCAGGCCGGGCGCCCGGGGCCTCGGGCACTGCCGCTCCCCAGCCCCCTGTCTGGCCTCCCTGTGGCTCGTGGGAAAGCTGGCTGTGAGCTGCGTGCTCCCGGTGACCCAGGAGCTGGGGGCTCCGGTTCCTCCTCTGGTTTAGTGCCTCAGCCATGGAACCGGGGTCTCTGCTGTCTGTGAAGCGAGCGCGGGGGCAGAGGCTCGGGGAGACGGGGCTGCCGGGACACAGCTGCTGGCCGGCCGCCCTGGCGTCCTCGCGGTTCCTGCACCTGATTGCTCCGCCGCCCCACGATGGGGACAGGTGGCTGTGTCCCCCTAGTTCCCAGGGCAGGGGCCGAGCACCCCGGAACCAGGAGAGCAAGCTGCTTGGCTCCATCCTGGGAGCCTGGGCCATTCCCACCGAGGGAAGGTTCAGAGAGGGGAGGGGACTTGCCTGAGGTCACACGGCAAGTGAGAGTCCAGGAGGCAGGAGCCCCACGGCCAGGCCAGCACTTCTGCACGAAGCGCACACCCAGCTCTTTCGTCTTAGGGGCAGGTGTCCCCACCCCGCCACACACACACCAGACACACCTTTCCTCTGAAATCGCTCAGCTGCCCAGCAGGCCCAGCAGCCCGCGGCTCCGGGAGTCCAGGGAGAGGCAGGAGAGGAGCCTGGACACCTGACAAGCGGCATTTTGCTTTTACTGATCATTTTCTTTGAATTTTTTTATTTAAAAATATGTGTATATACATATGTTTACTTTTTCATGCATTTCAGTTTTGGCTGCGCTGAGTCTTTGTTGCTCTGCGTGGGCTTTCTCTAGCTGCGGTGCACGGGCTCCTTCTTGTGGTGGCCTCTCTTGTGGCAGCCCATGGGCTCTAGGCACACGGGCTTCGCTGCTCAGCAGCAGGTGGGATCTTCCTGGACCAGGGATCGAACCTGTGTCTCCTGCATGAGCAGATGGATTCTTAGCCACTGCGCCACCAGGGAAGTTCCTTAAACTTACATTTTGGATGGGTCCTATCTTCACGTGGTTCAGAAACCAGAGAGTCACGTGACCCAGCAGTCACCCTGCTTGGAATTTACCCGAATGAGTCAGAAACTCCCCTCTGCACAGAAGTGCACACCTGACTCACAGCTGCCCAAACCATGAAGCCCCCAGCTGTCCTACAGTGGGTGCACGAACCCTGGTCCATCCAGACCGTGGGCTGTCACTCAGCGCTGCAAAGAAATGAGCTGCCGAGTCTGGAAAAGACACGCAGGACCCTTAAACGAGTATTGCCAAGTGAAAGCAGCGCTTCTGCAAAGCCTGAACGCAGTCTGATTCCAGCTGCATCACATCCCGCGGGAAGCGAGGCAGGAGACCGGTGGTGGGCGGGGGGCGGGCAGAGATGCAGAGAGGAGCCCAGAGGGTGTTCGGGGCAGTGGACAGTCTCCGTGTGATGATGTCACGGTGAACACGTGTCGCTACGCGTTTGTCCAGACCCACGGGATGGACACCACCATGCGGGAACTCGCGCGTGACCTGTGGCCTCTGGTGACTGGGGCATGTCCGAGTTGTAGCGAACACACCGCTCTCATGGGGCTGCTGATTGTGGGGGCGCTGGGATGTGCTTTCCCCTCAATTTTGCTATGAACTGGAAGCTGTCCTGGAAAAAGAGCCAATTAGAAGAAACCGGGAAGTGCAGAAGGTCCGCCGCAGGGTCCCTCCCCTCCGGGGAGGCCGTCTGTCGGCTCTGAGTCCCCCGTGCCTCCCAGAGGTCCCCCAGGAGCCGGTGCGGACGCCTGTGGCTGGCTGCAGCCGCTTCCACTTGGCACCTCGCTCTTGGGTTGAGGCCCAGCCATAAACCTAGGGTCCTTTGCCGCGTCTGCTCACCTCGATTCTGCGGACACACAGCCCTCCCTGTCCCGGCATCCCCACAAGGACGGCTCAGCCAGTTCCCCGATGGGGCACACGGGTTCGTTCCCTTCCCCAGCAATCTGGAGGCAGAACCATGATGCATATCACGTCCCAGGGGCCAGACCCCCGAAGGCACTCTGTGCATCTGACGGTCCGTGACATCATGGCAGGGGCAGGCGGGCCCGGACGGCCCCCCAGAGGGCCGAGCCGTCCCATTGCCGCACGCCACCCCGGGAGCCTGTGGGCCGAGGGCCGGGTCGTGCATCTCTCCTGAGCTGGCCTGGTCTTTCCGGCACCACTTCCAGGGCCGTGTAGCAGAAAAGGCGTGAGCGTGTCATCAGAGCAATCCAGGTTCAAGTCCCAGAAATGGGACAGCAGCCCCTCAGACCCAATGAGCTGTCCGAGAGGGAGGAGGCTTGAGCTGCCCTTGTCCCCGAGAGGTCGCTGTTCTCCGGGGGCCCTGTATCATGGGGGAGGGCTCCTGGCTCAGAGAGGCTCGGTGTCACGCTGACGAGGGGCCAGATGAGGACATGGGCCCGCCCCTCAGCGCTGTGAGTGGGATCAAGCGAGGCAGTGTTTATGGAGCCCCCTGAGCAGGGCTGGAAGGCCCCTCCTCGCTGACACGGGGCAGAGCTGGCCTGGAGCTGGAGCTGGGCTTCGGAGAACACAAGTCACGGGCGGGACCCGTCCAGCAGCTGTGGGCCGGGAGGCGTGTGGCTCAGCGGGAGGTGGGCAGGGGCGCCGCTGCCCAGACATGGTTCAGTCACGCTGCCTTGGGGTGAGCCGGCCACTGTCCCCTCCCAGGCGTAGACGACGGGGAGGACATCCCCCGCGAAATGCTCATCGGGATCTATGAGCGGATCCGGAAGCGGGAGCTGAAGACCAATGAGGACCACGTGTCGCAGGTGCAGAAGGTGGAGAAGCTCATCGTGGGCAAGAAGCCGGTAGGTGGTCTCTGTGCCTGCCTCGGGGGTGGGAGTGGCGGACCACCCAGGCACCCGGGAGCCCCCCAGCCCTGTGGCCCCGGGCCAGCCCCTGATGCCTCTGGAGCTCGTTCCTCCAGTCAGGACTGGTGAATTACATCACCTTTGGGGCCATCTAAGCCACTTCCCCCTGGGTCCCCCTGAAGAGAACCTGAGGCCTTGTTTGAGCCGGCGGCTGGGACCATGCAGTGACTCCTGGTGCCCTGGGCTCCCCTCGAGTCCGCTCAGGGCGCCAGGGAGGTGCCACGGGAGGGGTGCCCCCGGGGTCTCCACCAGGCCCCAGGAGCGCGTGTGGGGCGTTAACCTCTCTTGTCGTCTGTTCACCGTTTCCCCCATAGATCGGATCCCTGCACCACGGGCTCGGCTGTGTGAGTGCCCTCCGCTTCCCGTTCTGTGTTCCCTGCAAGCCCCCAGCTCCCAGCCCCCAGACCCACCGCTCTGGGTGCACAAGTCACTCTCCGTAGCGATGAGAAGTTTGCTCGTCACAGTTCTGCCCGCCTCGGATCTCGGCGGCCCCGCAGGGAGGGCTGTGCTGTCGGCCCAAAGCAGACGGTCTCCCTATGTCTCGTCTGGGCCTGGTCGAGCTTGTCCCCTGGCCCTGAGACCCTGCGCCTGAACTGATGGCCTTAGGGTGGCACTGAGGCCTCCCGCCCTCCCCCTGCCCACCTGGCCCGGGTCTGCCTCCCCGGTCCCTTCCACTGGCCGCCAAGTCAGGGCCCAGGACCCCTGTCACTTGTGTGACCCGGCCCCCCAGCCCCGCGCTCTGCCGTCCTGTCTCCTGCACCCGAGGGCCCAGGCTGGGCCCGCATTCCCTCCCGTGTCCCTGCGGGTGGCCGAGCTCGGCCCTATAGGGCTGTGTGTGCAGAGGGCGGAGACCACCCCCTCGGGGTGACGACCGCCGGCTCAGGTCCCCACACAGCCCCCCAGACTTGGACTTCGGGGCTGAGATCCTTCAGGATGGAGGGCCTGGGAGCTGGGGGTCTCGGGCTGCATGAGAGGGGCGCTTCGGGGGGCTTCCCGGGACCAGGGCCCCATGCGAGCCGGCGCTGAGAGCGGCGGAAGGCGGTCTCCCTGGAGCAGGGCGGCGGGCACGGGGGCGTCCCCAGCCGGGGTGTGGGCTGACGCGGCCCCTCTGCGCAGGTGTTATCGCTGCCACACCGCCGCCTCGTCTGCTACTGCCGGCTCTTCGAGGTTCCGGACCCGAACAAGCCCCAGAAGCTCGGGCTGCACCAGCGCGAAATCTTCCTGTTCAACGACCTCCTGGTGGTATGTGAGCCCACGGGTGCGGGGCTGGGTGCGCAGACTTCCGGCGTCTTGGGCTGACTCCTCCAGGACAGAGCGTTCGGCCTCCACGGCTCCGGGCCTGTCCCGGCCCCTCGGCCTCCAGGGAGCCTTTTCCTGACGCTCCTAGCAGAGGCCTCGCGGCTCCCTGAGCCGCCCCCCAGGGCAGGCAAGTGCGGTGCTGTCCGGTTGGCCTGGGTCTCAGCCCCAGGACTGGAGGGCTGGATGCGGCAGAGGGGGGCTCCCCAAGAGGATGTTGAGCTCTTGCCTCCAGAACAGGCAGCCTAGGGGTAAAGATGGTCCCGCAGCCCACTTCTTCCCTGGGACCCCTGGCCCCTGTCCCCGCCCGACGGAGGACCAGCCGCTCTTGTCAGGCCTCCTAGCCTGGAGTCCAGACATGCGGCTTCCAGTCCTTTAAGAGCCCCTGACCTTGAGCAAGTCACTGCAGACCTCTGGGCCCGGTGTCCTCCGCCGTCCGACTCAGCCCTCAGCGGGTTCCGCTGTGCTGCGTGGGGCCCGCGGGCACGAGTGTCCCTCCTCCTGCCGGCCCTTCGCTGCCCCGGGAGCCTGCTGGCCTCAGAGCTGCGGGGCAGGGGGTCCTCACACAGGAGAACACGGCCCCGGGGGCTGCGAGAACCCTGAGTGCGTGGGGTACCCCGCACTGCGGGCCTGGAGCTCAGCCTCTGCATCTGGCTGCCCCCAGGTCACCAAGATCTTCCAGAAGAAGAAGAACTCGGTGACGTACAGCTTCCGGCAGTCCTTCTCCTTGTACGGCATGCAGGTCCTGCTCTTCGAAAACCAGTGTAAGTGGGTCCCAGTACCCGGAGTTCGTGTTCCCACTTTTATCAACAGAGGGCCGGCTGCAGGCTCCAAGTAATAACCAGGGAGCATTTCATATAATCAGACGTGGGGCTCATCACATTGACTTTCGCCGTTAACTTCTTGCAGGTGATAAGATTTTTACATTTAGGGCAGAGTGAGTTTATTTAAACAAAACGTGGGTGGAAAGACATGCAGTAAACGGCCCTGGTGATGTGTGGCTTTGACCAGTCGGGCGAGGGTCACGCCTGAGGGGCTGCCGAGGTTCCCACCAGGGCCCCGGGTCCATGCGCTCTGGCCTTGGCGGCCGTGTGGCCCGGGTCTCTGACGTCTCCGGCCATCGCCCCCCCACCCAGGCTGGAAGGCTGCCCCTGCCTTGCTTTCCCCTGGAGAGCCTGGTGCCATGCGCACCGTTGTGTCCAGCAGGCCCCTCGGGGAAGGGGTGGGGGTGGCAGGGACCCCCTGGGAACAGCCCGACCAGACCGGGTCCTCAGGCAGAGGGTCACCGTCAGGCACCCGGGGCTCACACAGGCGGCTCCCGGTCAGTCCCGGCCCACTTAGGTCAGACTCGGTTTGAACTCTGTCTTCCGCTTTATTGGCCTGGTTCTGAGGTCGTCACGCAGGGTTCAGCTGTCCTTGGCTTCTGCCGAAAGCTAGGTTTGGGCTCGTGAGGCCCACGTCCCCACTCGCTGGACAGGCTCTCCAAGCTGCTCAGTCTCCCCTGGCCCGCATCCCGATTTTATTTAGGAAACCTGCTCAGGCCTCTAAGCATTGGAGCTCACGGTCCTGAAGCAGGTCTGAGCTGTGATGGGATTGTCCTCCGGGCCGAGGACCGTCGCATGCCGGGTGATGGGTGCTCGACTCCCTCTGATGAGGGAGGGGGCGCCAGGACCCCACAGCCCCGACAGCTCGGAGGCGGCCCCAGGCAGGAAGGAGCAGGCGATGCTGTCAGCTGTGGGGCGCCCACAGTGTCACCCGAGGGAGCTGGGGGCGGGGGGGCCTGGGAGCATGGAGGCCAGGCAGTAGAGAGCAGCGTCGCCCAAGGTGACAGGACAGGTGACTGGGGACACGGCCTCCGTCTCCTCCCAGACTCAGCGCCTGGCCAGCTTCACGTCCCAGGCAGAGTGACCGAGGACCCTGACATTCAGGGTCCAGGCTGCAGGCCTGTCCTGGGGGGAGGACCAGGGCCAGGCCCTGCCTCCGCTCAGCCAGATCTGAGCCTGGCTCGAACACGGAGCAGCAGGGACCCCGGTCGGGAGCGGGGGGCTGCCTGGTGGTCCCCACGAGCAGCGCCGCATCGTCGGGCACATCCGGGGAGCCCCGTGGACATGCCGGCCCGAGGGGAGGTGGGGCGCCCACACACAGGCCTGTGCTCTCGCGTCCCCTGCAGACTACCCCAACGGCATCCGGCTTACGTCTGCCGTCCCGGGGGCTGACATCAAAGTGCTGATCAACTTCAACGCCCCCAACCCTCAAGACCGCAAGAAGTTCACCGATGACCTGCGAGAGTCCATCGCGGAGGTGCAGGAGATGGAGAAGCACAGGATAGAGGGTTGGTCGCCGTCGTGGCCGCCGGGGGGCGGGGGGCGGCGGGCGGCACGGGCGCTGCCTCCCGTCTGTGGCCAAGGCTGCGGTGCCGCCGTGACTCCCGAGCCGCGGCCACATGCTCGGACAGCCCTGCCGCCCAGGCCACGGCAGGAGCACGGACGGGAGGGCAGTGGGCAGGGGTCTCCAGGTGGGAGCCCGTCCTGCCCGGGGACCTGCACCACGGGCCCCGAGCAGACCACAGCCCTCCTGGCCCCCCCGCCCCCCGGCTCTGAGCCTCGTTCCGGGGGACACATGAGTGTCCCCTGCTCCCCAGCCTCCATCCACGGCCAGGCCGGGTTAGCCTGGCTCCGCTCTAGACCCAGGAATTCAGTCTCCCCCCAGAGTCGCTGAGCTCCCTGCAGGCCTCAGCATTCTGGCCTCTGCGGCCTCCCATCGAGGGTCTCCCTCGGTCACGGGGGCTTGGTGGGGGGGGGGCGTCACTCCAGCTCCTCCCCAGATGACCTCAATCCTCCATCTCCCCGCCAGCCCTGGAGGTGGTGGGGCTCGGCCCCGTGCCACCCAGAGCAGACACCCCCCGTTCCTCCGTTCCCCTGCATCGCCCTCCTGACGGTTGCCCACCCCCATCCACCGCCCCCTGCCCCCCGCCCGCCCTGGGCCGGGGCCCTGCTCCCCTCACGGCCCGGGCGCTCTGTTGCAGCGGAGCTGGAGAAGCAGAAGGGTGTCGTGCGGCCCAGCATGTCCCAGTGCTCCAGCCTCAAGAAGGAGCCGGGCGGCGGGACGCTGAGCCGGGCCTGCCTGGACGACAGCTACGCCGGCGGCGAGGGGCTCAAGCGCAGCGCCCTCAGCAGCTCCCTGCGCGACCTCTCAGAAGCGGGTAAGAGTCGGGCCCAGGCCGCCCCCCACCCAGCGCACATGGGGGGCTCCACTGCGTGTGGTAGGCTTATATCGGCCGGGGGGTGGGGGCCACCGCGGCGGAGGGCCTCGGACTGCGCGGGTCCGGGTGGCCACCTCCAACCCACCGCAGCATCTAAGCAGGCAGGGAGGGCATCCCCGGAGGCCCCAGGCAGGACAGCTGGGCGGGTACCCCGTCTCCCCCGCTTTTTACTTGCCCTTCCGTTTCCTGAGCCCGGCTCTCGCGCAGTGTGAGCCAGGCCCTGTCACCCTGCGCTGCCCATGCCCCCCGCTTCACGCTGACGAGGGCAGGGGGTGATGCCTGCTGCGCCATATCTGGGGCCTCATCGTTGCCCGCGGTCCCGGGGCCTGCTCTCCCGGCAGAGGCCCCCTTCCCGGGAAGCCCAGGCCTCTGTCCAGCCCAGAGGCGACAGGGGAGAAAGCCTTGGCGGAAGTCGTTTCCTTGTCTGTGTGTGTGTGTGGTTTGCTGCCGGCCTCTTAACCCGCAAACAAGCCGCCTGGGTCTCCTGGGTCTCCTGGGGTCTGGGGTGTGCCTGGAGCATCAGGGGGCGCTGGACCTCAGTGGTGGTGGGGGCGGGGAGGCTGCTGCCCCAGCCTGCTTTGCTTGCGGGCGCTGTTGCGAGGGGAGGGGGGTGCGCGCCATGGGCTGCAGGGGACAGCCTTTTCATCCCCCACGAGATGCGTCAGGCCAGGCAGCTCCTCCCCGGAAGAGGCTGGGTCAGCGTGGAGTGGAGGCAGCTGGGCACGTGGGCATGTGGCCAAGCCAGTGCTGTAGGCTCCAGGGACCCTCGACTCGCGCCCCGGCCCCAGGAGCCTGACATGACCTGGGTTTGCTGGGGGGATACCCTCTCGGGCTGAGACCAGCGTTCTCCCCCTGCCCCGGGGCCCAGCGGCCCCTCTCCCGCCAGACGCTCGCCCAGCCCAGCCCAGCCCCCTCAGGCATCACTGCGTGGCCGGCTCTGGGCGCCCAGAGAGAGCTGCCCGAGACCGCATCCCATCCCTACCCCCGCCCCCCCGCAGCAGCGCTTCGTCCCTTCAGCATGTTCGTTTCTCAGAAGTTTTCCCCTTTTTTCTCTTTTTTTTTTTGAGTTGGATTTTTCCCTTTGCTTCTATCTCATCATTTTTTTTTCTTTCCATCGTGAAAATGCGAAGTGCATGGCCAGCGTGAGAGTCAAGTAAGGCTTCTCAACCCGGCTCTGCTGACTTCCTGGGCCGGGCCATCCCTGCCCTGGGGGCCGCTCTGCGCAGGACGCCTCCGCACCCCGGTCACGACAATCGGGAACCTCCCTGAAGACTGCCGGGCACCCTCGGCAGGGAGAGGGCAGAGTCTGGCTGGCAGCATGGCCGTGGTTGAGAACCGCTGGTTTTCCCGCAGCTCGTGACACCCAGCTAGACGTAACCGAATCGCTCTGGGGCCCGGGGCCCGTGTTTGGGTTTGTGCAGTGGGGCCGCCTCGGGCCGCCAGGGGCCCCGTCCAGCCCCCCAGGTAGGAGCGGCCTCAGTGCAGCTGGCCAGTTACTCCAGCTGCTGACGGTCAGGACCCCAGGCGTCTGCTCTCTGTAGACGGAGCCGTGTGCCCGGTGCACGGCTGGGTGAGGGGCCGAGCTCTGAGCTCTGGCTGGTTTCTGTCGGGGATTCTCAGCCAAGAAGGACTGCAGGGGGCCAGAGTCCTTGGACCCTACGCCAAAGAGGGTCCCCAGGAAGAAGCCACCTGCTCCCAACGGTGGGAGGTGAGGTTCGGCAGGTGTTTCAGTCGCCGCCTGGGACAGGCCCCCCACCCGCGATCTCCAAAGGAAGACAGGCCAGCGTCAGCCACCTCCTGGAAGAGGCCACAGGTGTGCGCCCTGTGCTGGACAGGGTCAGGGAGAAGCGCTTCAAGGCAGTGACGTCCCCGCCTGCGTGCCCAGCCAAGAGGATCTTGGAGAGGATGGCCCAGGCGGAGGGCCAGTGACACCCAGCGGGGGCTTGTCCTTGCTCCCAGAGTGGCTGCCCCAGACCCACGACGACCCGGCCATCCAAGAGCCAGGACCCCAGGGACGGGGCCTCAGCCTGCCATGAACCTCGGGGACCCAGGAGGCAGGCGTGGTTTGACGGCTCAGCAGGACCCAGGCAGCCGGCTTGCCAAGAGCCAGAGGAGGACGCGGCCCTGACCCAGCTCCCGCTGAGCTGAGAGGTCTTCTCCAGTCTCCGTCCATGTGGTCCCCCTTCCGCCTCTGCCGGGGCCCTTGCTTGTTTCAGGGGTGCCAGAGCCGTGCCAGCCTGCGGTCAAGGATCCCAAGGGCCTCCAGGCAGAGCCTAGCTGGGCCCACACAGCATGCTGATTCGGGGGCTTTGGCTGCCAGTCTCGGCCGAGTCACTCCTCTGAGCCTCCATTCCCCGGCTGCAGGAGGGACAAGCGCTGCCCCCAGGGTCTGTGAGAGCTGCTGCCCGCAGAGTGTTGAGGGGGCCTGGCCCAGCGTGCCAGCTGTTGTCACCCTCACCATTGCGAGGGCCATGGCGTGAGACCTGGGCTGGGGCCCTGCTGGCTGCTGTCCCAGCACCGAGAAGCCCGGAGGCTGTGAAGAGCCACGCCATCCATCCATCCAGATGTGGCGTCCAAGTTGGCCGTGGTCAGGCTGACCGGGCCTGCTCTGGCCCTTGGGAGGCACCGGCTAGGACGGGGCGCTCCCTGAGGCTCGTGCAGGGTTCCGAGACGGGGGCCCCCGGGACTGCGCAGTCCCGGCCCTTCCCCCTCCATCAGTAGATGGGGTGTGCGTGTGCACACGCCTGCACGTGGTCTCCAGGGGGCAGGTGTCCACGGGCGTGCCTGGGATTGGAGCGCAGACAAGCGCAGGGACATCCCGTATCTCCTGTTGACCTGCGAAGTCGAAGAGATGAGTTCTTAGAAAGCCAGATTCCCTCCTGGACGTCCGAGTAAGAGCCCTCCTGAGTGTTGGCCTACGGTGGGCAGGAGGGGTTCTGTTTAGCTCCAGGGGGCAGCCTTTGATGCCCCCACACCAAGCCCGGGCCTGGCCCAGTCCTGGTGGGAGAAGCAGGCTGGCTGGAGGGCAAAGCAGGGCCCGCCTGGCTCATCGACGGGGACACAGAGGCAGAGAGTCAGCAGGGTGCTGGAGGGGGTCACCCCCCTCCAGAGGCTGGGGACTCTATTTCTGCCCATGCCCCCGCGCTGCTGTGCTGAGACAAGGCAGGAAGGGGAGATCGCCCCTCGTCTCACAGCTGCTCAAAGATGAGGAGGGACCGGTCTCCTTCAGCTGGGGACGAGGGCCCGTGTCCTTGGTCCTCAGCATCCACATCCACTGTGAAGCCCAGTCCTGTGGGCTCTGGGGCCAGGGCCCAGCACCGCCTTCAGAGGACCCCAGGCTCCCAGCTGGACTCAAGTTTGGGGGTCAGCAGGTGAAGACCCAGGCCCTGGACACCCCCCTCAGCCTGCTGTTGTGGGCATGTGCAGCTGCCACCGTTTTAACCCAAAGGGTCCAGACACACCCTGTCTGCCCAGCGCAGGTAGGGGCATGGGCCACACCATGGCACGAGGCCACCCCTTCCGTCTTCTGGGCGCCTGGGCTGGTCCAGCTCGGAGGCAGCGTGGCCAAGGTCTCCCGCCTCACGTGGACAGGCGGATGTGGTGTAAACTGTTCGCCGTGGGAACGAAGTCGCTCAGTCCATCAGTCAGAGCCTCCATCTCCTCCTGGCGTGGACAGAGGGCACCTGTCCCGTGCGGTGGGGCTTGTGGAAGCCAGAAGAACATCTGGAGTCCCTCCTCTGCCCCCAAGAGCTGGCTGGAGGCTGGACCTGGCCGAGCCCTCAAGCTGGAGCACCATCGTCCCCGACAGCCTCGGTGTCCTGCAGGAACCCCCGGAGAAGTCGTTTGGAGAATGGGGCGGGCTCCCGGCCTCCAGAACCAAGAGGAAGACTCAGCCTCCTTGGGCATGGCCAGCGCGGATTGCCCACCTGCCCTGCGCCACATGCAGGGCACTCGGAGGCGTGTCAGCGAGGGCTCACGGCCTGGAAGGCGTGTGGCGTCCTGGGGGGCTGGCGCTCACAGAGGGGAGAGCTGGTCTGCGGGCCCACCCATGCCCCCAGCCAGACACTGCACAAGGCAAACACGGCCCCAGAGGGGACCTGGAGCTCGTCTCCTGAGAGCCCCCAGGCCCTGCGGGTAGACGGCAGTGTGTGCGTGCCTGTGCGTATGTGCAACATACGTCCGTGAAATCCACCGAAGGGCAGCGCAGGGCCACGCTTGGCTCGTTTCAGCTGCTGGAGGAGCTGGCCCGCCGGGCGGATGGCCGAGGGTTCCCGCCCCCCCCACCCTCCCTGGCACCCACCCCTCAGGCTTCCGGTCCACGAGAGGGGGATAAAGTTTGCCTGGTTGGAAAGATTTTTTTTTTTTTATCTTTTTTTGTTTTTTTTTTTTTTTGCTTTTTAAGAACCCCTTTGTCTTTTTAAGTCGTCAGCGCCCTGCCCCCGGCTCCGCCGGGCCGTGGGTGGCAGCGCAGGCCTGTGTCGCGTCTAACCTCTGGTATTGCATGTTCTGGGCAGGGAAGCGAGGGCGTCGCAGCAGTGCGGGATCGCTAGAGAGCAATGTGGAAGTAAGTAGGAGCCCGTCCGGCTGGCTGTCGTGTGTTGCCTCCCGTCCTCGGGTTTTGCCTCTCGTCTTTTTTTTTTTTTTTCTTTTTTTTCTTTTTTTTGCTCCTCCTTCCGTCCTCCACAGAGGCCAGATCCACCCCGCCTGCCTGGCACGTGCATGCCTCCCGCCTAGACGCGCCCGCGCCCCTCACCGCTTGTGGGGGCTGGAACCGTGGGGGCGGGTCCGGGTCTGTATGTCACGGTTTAGTCTCCGCTTAACCCCCGCCCCGCGGCCCCTAAGCATGGTTAACACCCCGGCTCCCCGCGGCCCCGCCCCCTCGCTGTCGGTCCCGCCCTCTCGGGCTTCCACGCTCCGCCATCCCCATCGCTTCTCCTTCCTGGAGGTTCGATTGCTGTGTGTCTGCAGTCAGGGCGCCTCGGAATTGCTCAGCCAGCTCGGGGGCGGAGAGCCGGGAGAGAGAGGAGTTCAGTGTGGATTTCATGAGGTTCCATTCATTCTCCAGCCATCTCGACATTCCTGTTCTCATCTCCGCTCAGCTTGCAGGCCTCTCTGTCCTCTCTCCCCGTGTTTGGTTGGCGTTAGGTAGCCGCAGTGAGACGCCTAGGCGGTGCCCGCCCGCAGGGGGAGGCTCCCCCAGCCCCTCCTGCGGCCCTCGGCACCCCCTTCCCCCCAGCAGGCAGACACTCAGAGGGCCCAGGAGGGCCCAGGGCAGGGTGTTGGGGGAGCAGGCCCCTCTCCGCCCCGCCCCGCCCCGCACACGCTGCTGACACCCGCAGACTCAGGGCTCTGATCTGAAGGCGGGGCCACCCCCCAGGCAGAGCGCTCAGCAGGGCTGCGCTGCCCCGCAGTGTCTCCCCCCCAGGGCCCCTTGTGGGCCGCCGCCCCCTCCCACTGCCCTGCACCGAAGCGTCTGGAGATGCCCCGAGTCTAGCCTCACGGGGCCTGGCCTCTGTGGCCAGCACGTGGAACTAAGGCTTAGCAGTCAGTGGGTGAAACTTTTAAACTTTTTTTTTTTAAGAATCATTCTGCCGTAAGTGCTCTAAGCTCGTTTAATTTTGGTTTCTATGAATTTCCTTTTTAGGGGTCCATCATTAGCAGTCCTCACATGCGCCGGAGAGCTACATCACCACGAGACTGCCCATCTCGCCCACACCAGGCCATGCCCAACTCCTCCTCCCTCCTGGGCTCCCTGTTTGGGAGTAAGAGAGGGAAGCCTCCTCCCCAGGCCCAGCCGCCCCCCCACCCGCCACACCCCATGGCCAGCCACCCCCAGGGGCCTGTGGAGGGCCCCCTCGCAGGCCCAGGGCACGGGCACCACGGCCAGTACTGCCACCTGCAGCAGAGCCCGCCCCCCTACCACCATCACCACCACTACCACCCGCCCCAGCACCTCCAGCACACACACCAGTACCACCACGGCCCCCACGGGGGGCACCCCGCCTACGGGGCCCACGCGCACGGCCACCCGCCGCTGCCCGCGGGCCACGCGGGCCACGCCCTGCACCACCACGGGCAGCCCCCCGCCCCGCCGCCCCCCACCAGCAGCAAGGCCAAGCCCAGCGGCATCAGCACAATTGTGTAGACAGCCTGGGTGGGGGTCCCGGTCCCCCCGGAACATGTGCACACCACACAGGCGCACCCAGGGGCGGCAGCCCCAGACCAGACCCAGGGCACCTTCTGTTTGCACCTCCCCTCAGCCCCCCGGCCTGGACGGAGCCCCCGAGCCCCGGGGCTCGAGTCACAGGGAACACAGCCCCCGGTTTGAGTTGGCGGGGGCGCCCCTCAGCCCCAGAGGTGGGCTTCGGCCACCACCAGCCCGGAAACGGTGCTGCCGGCCAAGTAGATGTTGAACCGAGCCCTGGCCCCCATCCCCACCCAGGTCCCAGCTCTGCTCCCTCATTGTACCTGGGGGTGATGACCCAGCCTAGGAAGAGATGACACACAAAAGCAGACAGAACCAAACACATAACCCAAAACTTGCTGCATTATTGCTCTTTTATTGACAATGGGCAAAAATTAAGTAGACCTGATATGGTTGATGAAAATACGTAAGTAAACTTTATATAATATAAATATATAAATATATAAATACATATATACATATATATATATATATACTGTATAGGTAGTATTTGTGTGTGAAAGGCAAATGTTTCAGTCCACAAAATTAGCAATAGAGACTTTAAAAGGAGCCCCACTTACCTGTTAGGAAGACAGAACCTTAGACAAATGTGTGAGAGATTAGACCAAAAATTTAAATGCTAGGGACAAACTCAGATACTTCCATATTTTCGTAAGAAGAGACACCCCACCCCCAGGACTGGCTGAAATCTTTACCGCGATCACTACTAACCGTGCCAAGTAACATAGCATCTAACTGTTTTCAGAGTCCGATATTGCTTTGTATAAATCCTTATTTTATTAACAGATGACTATCATAAGTAATCAGTATTATAACTGCTCTGTTATTTCAGGTAAGCAAATAGATTTTAAAAATGCAGTGAACTCTACCGTAGCACCTCGGGACCACCAGTTCAGAACTGGTTGTCCCGGACTGTTGGTTACCCAGACTCTTAGACACTTTAAATGGCTGCAATAACTGTGAATTTCCATGATCCATATTTCTTTCGTACGCATCTGGTTTACTGCACACTCATTCAGAGCCCTCGGCGGGCGCCCCACACCCGGCAGAGAGGTGTTCATCTCCCACATGAAAGCGACCAACTCATGCTCGTCTCCCCAGCTCCATAGCCCCCTCATCCTGTCTCCAGCCGCAGCAGGCAGACGCCCCGGAGAACCGAAGGCTGCTGCTCTTAGCGTTTAGCGCCCCGGGGCGGTGTGTGTGCTTCCCGTTTTGTTTTCTGAGTGGTGGCCGTGACCATCGTGATTCCATGTGGCCGTGTGCTCGCGCCCCCGTGTTACGTCTCCGGGCCCGTCTGAGCCCGCCGCGCGAGGAGCGCCCGGCCCCGCCCCGCGCCGCCCGCCGGGGCGCGCCCGGCTCTCCCGCGGTGCTCTGTCGCTTCCGTGGGGGGCCCCGTCCGCTCCCCCGGGGCGGCGTCACCCACGGGCCGTCCTTTGTAGTTTCAGCCCTTCGAACCACTGCGGCCACCCGCGCTGTGCTCCTAGGCCGCGGACCGGAGGACCGCTGCCGGGCGGGAGCCCGCGCAGGAAGGGCGAAGCTGGCGCGGGACTGCACGGGCGCGGGGCCCTGGACTGCGGCGGGACAGCCCCGGGGAGCCCGCCCCGGCCGCGGCCGGGACTCTGCCCACCCCCACCCCACCCCACCCCACCCCGCATCATCCAGGTCTCCAAACCAGCAATTCTGCAAACTGAGCACTTTGTTAATCTCCACAGAGAACAAATACAGCAATCTAGAGTTGAGCCTTTTTTTTTTCTTTCTGTTTCTTTCTTGAAAGAAGTGTGACTTTAACCTGCCCGCCTTTTATCTTCCCGTCCATGTGGTCCTCCTCCCTTGGGCATCCGCTCAGAGAGATGGGAAGCACGGTGTGTCTGTTCTGGTCCAGGCTGGGCTGGGGAGGTGGGGGGAGGCTCCCCAGTTCCGCGGACCCCGAAACTCCCTGGTCACCCCGCAGAGCCTGGCCCCCCGAGGCGTCCTGTCTTGTGGTCTCAAGGGCATCATCGTGACCGGAAACAGTCGAATTGTACTGCATGTCCTTCGGCATCAGGCGCTGTGAGGCCACACTGTGTATTGTGTATTTGCAAAACTCTCTCAGTGTTACTGTTGACAAATAGTTGAAGTAAAGTGGTAACATATTAAATATGTCGGCTTTTCTTCACCGTCTGTACCAATCGTAGGATCTAACTGTAAGCTCCAGGTTGTTCCAGAAAAGATGCAGGCACCAGGCCGCCCTTTCCAAAGGGCCATCACTGTGGGCACAGAAGCCAGCAGGGCAGAGCTGGGGCACAGCGCACCCTCTCTCTGTGGGCCATTCAGAACCCGCACCTGTGACCTCTTGGGTCCACAGGGCTGGGCGCTTCCAGCTTTCTGCTGGCTGGGGTTCCAGTCAGTGAGGTTTCATCAGCATGTGCGTTTCGGGGACAAACACATCACGGGATGAGTGTTCCCAGAAGGCACACTGTTCCGTGGAGGAGGCTGGAGCTGGCCCGCCCCGATCTCTGGAAGCAAATGTTCCTGATGAGCTGGTGGTCCTGGGCAGCTTGCCTGGGACTGCTCTCTCGGGACCCCAGACGGCCCCAGGGTCCGCCCGCCTGCACAGGAGGCGGAGGCAGAGGCGGGTCATCGCCAGGCTGCCTGTCCTTTCTCATTGTCAGGATGAACTTGGGGCGTTTTGCTCACAGATTATCTCAGCAGGAGACCCTTAGAGGAAGCAAGCCGGTACCATCACCCAACATCTTTTCTGGGACAACAACGAACTCATGTATTTGTATTTTTTTTTAAGTTTATGAATGGATTGTATAACAATGTAAAAATAAAGTTCATCCTAATATGACGTGCGCCTCTTACTTAAAAATGTCCTCAGTCGTCCGGTGTTGAGCGATTTTTCCATCCCACACTGCATGCCACAGGAGCCTCTCGGTTTTAAGACAAGCTGAAGTGACCGCAGCTAGCACACATGACTCGGCTCCGCACGAAGCCGTGTCGCCACAGGTGAGCATGCCCCTTACCGTCCGCTGTAAAGCGCCACCGCCCTCCCTGCCTGAAAAACGAGTCCTTCCGTAGGTATCTTAAACACGGCAGCGGCGATCCAGGAAGCAGGCTGCAGAATGAGTCGGCCTGGGGCTGGAGTGGGGGTGGGGGCCCGACGTCCGTGTGACCCGCCTGTGGTCACGCGGAGCACTCGGGCAGCACCGCCTCCTGTGGGGAACTGTCACTCACCACTGAGGTGTCTCCCACGATTAGAACCAGGACTTGAGTGCAGGCTGCTGAGACCTCAGGGGCCCCCTGGCTCTCGGGAAGCCCAGCACCCACCATGTAACTTTGGGGAGACAGGAGTGGTTTTGTTTCCCTGTGTATTCTGTTTGTAAGTAACAGACTCTACTGATGTAAAACCACAGCTGTGATCATGTGGAGAAAGCAAATAAATCCTTTGAAATGCTCGTGTTCTCACTTTTTCTGGGAAGACTGGCCGTTTCCCTGTTGGCCGGACACAGCAATCCCCGGATGGTGAGGTAGCCCATCCCTGGTCTTGACTGCGGTGGGCTGCGGCCTCTGGGAAGACGTGAATTTGAGGATGGTGACAGATGGCTTAAGATAAAGGTACTCATCACAACGTAGGCACTGGTAGAAGATCCCCAAGGTATTTACAATTCCTAGCAGCTTTGAACAAAATGTTGTGCTTTCATTGAGTTAGAAGAGATGGACCCTATGAAGCACGAGGGTGGGCAAGGGGTTGACTTGTGAGCAGAAAGACACCTAAGGCCCAGCCCACATCATGCGATGGGTAACATGACCTGGAAGCCAGGAAGGGGGATTCTGTTCTCCCGGAAGCAGGGCTTCTACGAGAATGTGCTTGGCTGGTACTGTTTCTCCTTTCCTTAAACCCAGATTGGCTCCAAAGACTACCCCCCCTTGAAAGCTTCAGTACAAACAAAACGAGGTAAAACCCGTTCATCTAATTTGCAAGCAGCTCCAGAGGTTCATGTCAGTGGCCCTGATGGGCGGGGGGCCCACCCTGGCCCACCCTCCACGGAGAGGGGAATTCCCACGGGAAGGCGTTCCCAGGTTTCTGCAGCTGGATGGCGGCCCTGGGTTGGGGGGCCCTCCAGGGGAGGGCAGCTGGTTCCCGGAGCTGGCAGACGTCCTTCAGCCTGTGACGTCACCTCGCACAGAGCTGCCGCCACCTGCCGCTCAGCCTAACCCCGGGACGGCGGGCTCCCAGGGCAGAGGGTGCCTCCGGCCGCTCCGCCCAGGACCGCTGAGGTCAAGATGCAGCTGAAAGCGCGCTGCTGGGTGGAAGGGGGCGGGGGTCACGGCACAACCACTGGCTGATCTGAGGGTGTGTGAGTTCTCAGCTCTCTGTAGCTCCTGCCCCCGAGAGTCGAGCCGGGGACACAGAGGACGCGATAGGGCTCCTCCGGAGCAGTTCCTGCTCACTGGCCGTGTCCCGTAGCTCGCGTCTTGCCTGATCTCTTGGCAGCTTTCAACACTGTTCACACGCCCCATGGTGGAACACGTGGCATCCTTGGTTCTATTCTCACCTTCATCTCGGGAGTGACGGGGGGTGGTGCGGGGGCACCTCCTCTGTCTCCTCTGCTGGCTGACACCCCTCCCCGGAGCCTTGAGTGCTGGCCTCAGGGTCACAGAAAGCCGTCTCCCTTCCTCCTCTCGGCACACAGCCTGCCCTCCGTTTTCCTGGAGAAATCCCTGGATTCGAATCTCCAGCCCAGACCTCTCCTCTGAACACCCACCTCCCTGGGGTCCTTCAGTAAGTAGCACCTCAAACTATTTGTCCAGGACCAAATACATGATCACAGACAGAGCTGGGCCCCCCGGGCCCCCCCACCCCGTTGGTGAACAGCATCACCTCGAGGGGTGCAGATTAGAGCTAGGAAGCGCTCTGGACGCCCGTCCTCGTCCTGACTCTCCAAGTCTGTGCTGTCACCAAGCCCTCTTGGCCTTAACCTCCCTCAGTTCTTACGCCTCCCCGTGCCTCTTTGCGGCTCACCTGCCCTCAGGCTCGTTACCCGGACTAGAGCCCAGTACCTGGGCTCCCGGCGGCCACAGTGGGCCCCTCAACCCCTCTCCACTGCCACCAGAGGGGTCTTCTAAAGGTGCTGCCTGCTTGAAGGCACGTCAAAGACTTCCTGCTGCCCTCAGGATTAAAAATAAACCTGCAGAAGCTCCTGGACAGGGACTGCATGTCTGTCCCCCTGCCCTCCCCACTTCACCCCCGCAGTCCCCTTTCACTCCAGCAGCGCTAGCCCTTCAGATGCCCAGGGAAGCCGTCTTCCCCTTGTCTCAGGGCCTGTGCAAGCGTGACCCCTGCCGTTCCCCAAACGTAGGAGGATGCTCGCGCCTTTGTTGAGTTAGCATCTGTTCCCTGCAGCTGGTTTCAGCCACTACCTGCTCTGCGGTGCGTTTGCGTCGTTGCCTGTTCAGGGGCGTGATCACTGGTTGCTCTCAGTGCGACAGGGTCAGGTCCTTGCACAACTGTGATCCCAATCACACGTGGCACAAAGCAGGGCTTTCGGAGATGTTTGTTGGATGACCCGAAGAGTACCAAGGCCCAGAGAAGGAAGCTTAATGCGCCACGCGCGTCGGTGGTTCACGGTGACATCAGAGACCTAGGGAAGCGGCTGGGTCCTGCGCTCCCTTGTTGATTCAAGGAATAGTCTGGGCGAGGGCTGGAGGCTTTTGCTCGTTGTGTTTTAACTTCATCAAACATGGTTTAATATTTGGAGCACTTGGGAAGCACAGACTCATAACAAGCGTGGGGAGAACTCACTCACTCGCGATCCCGCCCCCCACAGCAGTTATGACTGAGGGTTTGGTCTCCCACCTTCTGCCCTGTTCTTTGGGCACGTTTCTTGGTTCCCTGGTCCAGACCTTTGGGGCGTGCCCCAAACAGTCTGCAAGTGTTGCTCAGTGCCGCTTGTGAAGGAAGAGTTTCACCATGGAAACCACCTAGGAGATGCTGGATCAGACAGAGTTAAACCGTCAGTCCTGCAGCGCCTCTTAGAAGGATGACGTGTTGCGAATCTCTCAGAGGCAGTCTGTGCTGAGTTTCCCAGACTTCCGTAGCGGTGGAACTCCGTCTTGTACCGCAGCGTACAGTTCAGAGGTGTGTATGTGCCAGTTGTCTTTCCTTTTCTCCCCTAACATATCCTGATGTTACAGAAGATGCAATGCTCTATGATATTTACATGCCAGCCCGTCACGTGGATGGCCCCTGATGGGCTTGCCATCAGGTAGTGTTGTCTTGGTGAATAAGGAACAGATGGGTGGAAACTGCAGTGTTTCTGAGATGTGGTGGCTCCAGTAAGAAGTGGGGGCCCTGGGGGAGTGGGGTGCCCGACTCTGACTTTAGGGCAGAGTTCCTGGGATGGAGAGTGAGACCACTCTGGTGGCCCAGAGTGGCCGTGCATCCCCCTGAGGTGTTTCCAGTCAGGTGTAGTCAATTCAGCACTCACCTGCCTCGGGAACGCACCCCACCTTCCAGCACAGAGTGGGCCTGCAAGAAAGCGGGGCCGGCTGTGGGCAGGTGTGTCGTGAAGGAGCTCATTTCTACTCCTAATTCTGACCCTTCAAGACTTTCAGGGGTTTAAATGACGTGTGCTGTGAATCTCTGAAAGATAGTCTGTGCTGAGTTTCCCAGACTTTCTTGTTCTCCTGACCACACTCCCCATATACCTCCACAACGTGGCCAGTGTCCCGTACAGGAGAAGCCCCACTTAAACCCGAAAGGTGGAGACCACAGCTCTGGAGGCGTCACCAGCTGTGGGGCTAATAGGAAAGAAAACATTCACGATAAAAAACGTCATATGGTCATGGAGGCCACCGGAATTGGAATCCCTTCCCACATCCTGAGGACGGGTCAGAAAAAGAACATATGAAGCCTCTCTAGCCCAGACCCACAGCCTAACCAGGAAAGACCAAACATCACAGATTGCAGGGAGTGGTCAGTGGGGGTGTGAACATCTTGGACGAGCAGAGCTGCCTGGACCCCAGAACAGAGGCGGCGTGACGTCAGCTCGGGTCCCACCTGTGAGGGCAGACCACCCTCAGAGCAGCAGCAGAGACCCTGCTTCCAGAGGAGGGGGGGCGCCCTAAAAAAGGCAGGTTTCCTGAAGGCCTGGTGACAAAGGACAGGAAGGGGCAGCTAAGATGAGGGCCCTGTTCGAACAAGGCGCCGTCAGAGAATCAAAGTTGATGGACCTGTAACTAACCAAATCAACATGAAAAGAAAAGAAAACACACCGAATAAGATGTGCCAAGAGCGAAGAGACTCTTGCAATGAAGGAAAAATTGAAAGCCGTGCTCCCTGGAACAACTCCGTGGAAATAAATTTGAAAAAACCTAGATAAAACTGATAATGAGGCAAAACTGACCCCTGGAGAGACAGAGATTTTAAACACAAATTCCCATAAGAGAATTAGAGGGAAAAAAAAATAATCCACTGCCAGGTCCAACTGCTTTCTTAGAGGAATTCTTCCAAACCTTCAAATTTCAGATAATTTCAATGTTACTCACACTGCTTAAGATCACTGCAATGGAAGGAAAACTTAGAAATTTTTTTTATGACATGACTATAGCAGTGTTTTCTGAACCTGGTAGAAGTTGCATAAATACAAAGCCACAGACAACCAAAACAAAAGTATGAATAAAACAATAGGAAGCATCTAATGATGCATTAAATATAAACGAACATACAGTTATAGAATGTGGGGGTTAATCCCGCCGTGATTTATAGTTGGCCCTCAACGCCCCCAGGTTCTACCAACTTCGGAGTGTGTCCTCCTGTAATGGTGGGTTTTTCTTTCTGTTTTTAATATTTTTTAATTGGAGTATGGCTTCCCCAGTGGCTCAGTGGATAAAGAATCCACTTGCAATGCAGGAGACGCAGGTTTAATTCCTAAGGTGGGAAGATCCCCAGGAGGAGGACATGGCAATACACTCCAGTGTTCTTGGCTGGAGAATCCCACGGACAGAGGAGCCTGGCGGGGTACAGTCCACGGGGTCACAGAGAGATGGACACAACTAAGCAGGCACGCATAGTTGGTTTTCATTGTTGTGTTTGTTTGGAGTATACAGCAACCTGATTCAGATTCTTTTCCCATATAGGTTATTACAGAACAAGCAGCTCCTGTGCTGACAGTAGGTCCTTGTTGATTATCTACTTTATATATAATAGTGTGGTCAGTCACTCAGTCCAACTCTTTGTGACCCCATGGACTGCAGCACACCAGGCTTCCCTTGTCCTTCACTATGTCCCTGAGTTTGCTCAAACTCATGTCCATTGAGTCGGTGATGCCATCCAACCATCTCATCCTCTGTCGTCCCCTTCTCCTCTTACCCTCACTCTTTCCCAGCATCAGGGTTTTTTCCAATGAGTCAGCTCTTTGCATTAGGTGGACAAAGGATTGGAGCTTCAGT